TCTTGAGGCCTTCTGAGAGGTTCACACATAGAAGTCCTGAGTTCCTAGCTCTGCACAGTTCAAGTTCTGCATTTCCTACATAACACTTGGCATCACCCATAGATTTCGTGAAATGCAATGCAGCTTGAGCATGCTGTGACAAAAGCAAGGGAATCTTCCCATCGACAACATGCGTTTCCATGACTCCCGGGAGTTTCGTCTCGGGGTCCAAAAAGGTCAAAGCAAATGGAATTCGACACTTGCCCAAAGTCTTGGTGTCTCCGGCGAGTCCTCGGAAAGCTTTTGAGTCACACTGCAAATCAGCTACATCATACCCAAGACGTGCATACTTGTCTTTGGCGTTTTGGATCCATGCTTGTCCACACACAGTTGCATTACATCCTTCATCCAACACAGCCCAGACTCCAGGGTCTTCCATGATGTCAACAAGACGAAGTGTGTTTTCAATTGTGGCTTCATTGAGATCCGACAACAGTCCCATGTAGCAAGTTTCCGGGGCGGCCTCTCTGATGACCTCCACGGCATTGGCAAGGATCTCGAACAGGACGCCAACCCTCACAGGTTCTCCAAATTCTAACTCACACTCAACCTCTTGTCGAAACATCTCCATGACCTCTAGAGTTCCTTCAGCTGACATGCATGCATCGTTGATTTCATTCTCAATCATGGATGCTGTCGTGTCGAATGCATTGGTGCGCACGCCTACCATACTCTTTGCCATTGCCTCTCTCTTGCGCGCCTCTTCTCGGGGCATCTCGTCGACAGTGGTTCCACACAACTTGCAGTACCAACGAGACGTGGTTTTCGAACTGCCTCGACGATCTGTAACCTCATGCTTGCACTTTGCGGGGTCGGCCGAAGGTTTGCTTTCTTTCTTCTTTCTTTCATTCTTCCCGCAGTCAAGGCATGTCTTGTTCTCAACATAGGCATTTGAACCTTGAAATGTGAATCTGGTGCAACGACGACATGGTTCCTCTAGCGGGGGGTTTGGTGGTTTTCCCTTGGCACTCTTGTCTCCAGTACGTCGAATTGCCTCTACTGGCACATCTGTCAAGGGATGCTCTCTCAGGCTCACGTCTCCGTCCTGACTGACTTCGTAGTACGTGGTCACCCAGGTCAGAAAATCTGCCAAACAACGCGAAGGGTGCGAAATGCCTGATCCCCATTGATAGTATCCAGGGTATTTGAACAACACTTCATGGTATGTCAAACCTTGGTGCTGGCCAAACACGAAGACATTCTGTGAACCTTCAGGCAACAAGTCTTGCTCCATGTCCTTCTTCCTACGCGTGACCGGAGGGGACTTCTGCGGTGACCGGCGGACATTTGGCTCGACCATCGAAAAGCTAGACGGTGGACTGCTGGTCACTCCTGACGACATGGATGCACGGTCTGACGGCTCAAACTCAAGCTTCTTCTTTGGGGACATCTTGTATGCCATGTAGCACGTACCATTTTCGACAGTTTGGCCACTGACATCAACACACATGTATTCACCTTCAACAGAAGACTCATCATCACTCAATGCAAAATAGGCTGTGGCTTTACTCGTCGACGACGTTCCTCCAGGGGACTTGTCGTTCTGCTTGGGGAACTTGCAAGCTGGGTCTCCTGCCCAATGTCCTTTTCCTCCACAACGCAAGCATTTGGACACTGACTTCAACTTTGCTAGACGTGCAATCCTGTCTTGCACGCTCAACTGTGTCCTGAACACATACTTGCCTTTTCCTTTGTTCTTCCCACCTTTCTTTCCTGAACCTTTACCTTTGCCCTTGCTCTTGCCTTTCAACTGGTCAGTCACGACAAAGGCCATCATCTGATGCTGGGCTGCGCTGCCCAGTTCCTCTGAGACATCGTTCTCTTCATCATCACATTCTCCCATTGCCATCAACGCTGTGGCAACTTCAGGGTCCTCGACATAGTCTTCATGTTCTTCGTCTTCTGGTTCTTCATCTTCTGCTGCGACATAAGCCTCATGCTCATAGTCGTCCTCTGCTTCTGCCTCATAGGACTCTTCATAATCCCATGAGTCATCTTCAACAATGTACGCAGATCTTTGCCAACTGCGCCCTTTTCCTCCTTTGTAGGAAGACTTGCCTGAAAACTTGCCTCCGCCTTTCTGCCTCCGAGGGCTTGTATTACCAAAGGCGGACCAGCTGCGCAAGTGGATTTGTCCATGGAATTCAAGCAAGAACTTGGCGTAGACGTCAAAGGATTGGTTGTCGCCTGCAGCTGTCTTGATCATGAGCTGTTCTGTCTTGCTCAAGCCAGAGCCTTCCAGAAGTAGCTCACCACGCATGGGGTCTGAAAGACTTACCCCATCATCCATCTCCAAAAGCTTCCTCCACCAACGACATCTTCGTGAAATGTAGCTAGTCATGCTTTCTGTCGTTTGGCGAGACAAGGGACCATGTGGGAGTTGACCCACTCTGAACAACTCTCGTGCTTCTTGTTGTCGAAGTGGAAAAACTTGTGCACGGATACGCGATATCAACTCATCAATGCCAGTTGGAGTCAACAACTTCTCCAATCCCATGTCTTGAGCTGTAAGGTATGCATCACCTCGCAGACCTTCCAACACCTTGTGAACAAGTGTTGCATACTCTGCTCCATCATCATCCAGTCCGGCAGTGCTCAGAGCTGGTTCTTCTTCTCCTACCACGCTCTCGGACTTCGGGGTTCCAAAAGCTTCAAATCGTACCTCGTCATCCTCTGATACATCCCCAGCTTCGGTCGCATAAGTCGGCCTCCTCTGAGAACGTTCTGGTGTGGCTGATTGGCTTCCATGACTCGAATAGGTCTTCTCCGATTTCTTCTTCGCATGTTTCTGCTTGTGCAAAGCAACGCGGACCTTGGTGCGAAATTCCCATTCGAAGAAACCATTTGGGTTGCCACTGTAGATATATGATCCGCTCTTCGTCTCCTGTGGTCCTGAGATACTTCCCCCATGGGATGTGTACCGCAGGCCAGCCAGCGACATCGCAACTCAACAAGTGTCGCAAAGCACTGGAATTACAACGGTTCGACGGATTGCGCGCAGGGTCACGCAATTGGGTTCAACGGTTTCGGGTCCAGCGAGTCTCCCCGGGTGAGTCAGATCCTGAGGGTGCCCCTTCAGAACCTGCTCCGCTACCAGTTTGAATCTCGCACAGTTCCTTTTCGCAGCAGCGAATCAGCTCAAGGGCCCTGTTCAGCCGAAACAGCAGCGACGGTGCATCAACTGTACGCAATACACCCTGGCTACAACAGCTGAAATTCACACAAGCAATTGCAGCCAGGTGTTCTCCGCGGAGCCGCTGGGTCCCAATGCTGCCCTCCAGGTGAAAAGAGCCGTCCCACTCCCAATTGCTCCAGTTCTTCTGCTTCTGTCTTCTCAACTGGCTGCCCCGTGCGGCTCCTTTCGCTCTTTGTAGAGAAGCTTTCGGCGCTTATGTCTACCGCACCAATACAGCTGCCATCCGAATCCAAGAAGGACAACCTGCTTGGTACGACCACCCCTCTCTGATACTCCCAACGATTTCGGAAGAACAGCTGCTGGAGCAAGTCGGCTGGGTGATTCCAGCCGCGCAAGAGCTGCAACTCCTGCAACTCCTCATCCGACGAGGAAGAAACTGCCACAAAGTAGTGGACATTCCTCTGACAAAATATGTGAGAGACCTTGACATGGCGCGTCCGCCTGGTTTGGCTTGCGCCTTCCACCAAAAGGCTGCACAGTTCGATGGACCAATTCTACGACGTCGAGGTGACAATCTCTGTACCACATCAGGTTCAGGTTTGGTCTCGCAAGAAGGCCTAATCCAAGATCCAGGCCTTCAAATCCTCTCATAATTTGTATGAGTCAACCCCACTTCTAAATGAACACCAAAAAACATGCAAGACATGCAAAACAAACTTGAATGCAATTCGGTTTGCAGAGATTCCCTTGAATCAAGTCTACCAAAAAGAGTTATACAATGATCGAGGATGAGAATGAGTGTCTGTTGCAACACAAATCTTCGCTTGGTGATGTAGTAGGGTGTCTATCACTTCAGTCTGGGTGAGAGAAATGTCCATTGCAGCGGATGTCCAGTTCCTTCGACAAAAACCGAACCGAAGCATTTTGAGCCGTCGAAAGGAGCCGAAAAGGCAGAAAAAACGATAGCCAGGAGTCACAGAGCTCGGGGTGGGGTAAGGGGGATGCCCCATTCTTCATTCACTCACTGGATGGGACTAAAGACCACCCCTTTATGACTCCTGGAAGGCACTTTCTTCTTCTCCCGAAAAAGTTGAAGATGGCTCCTAACGGCTCCGAACTCAGCTCAGAAATTCCTCAAGGATTGAGCTGGACCCCCCCCGAGTTCCAACCAAACACTTCAATGGTTTTGTTCCAATGATGGCATTCTGGAGTTTGGGTTTCCAGGAAAGTATGGCTAAGAAACTGGGCCAATCCACAGGAATGGCTGGTTTCCACCGATGGCGATGTCTCCGCGACAGACCCGACACCGCGACACCGAGGTCCGTGCTTACCCAAAGCCACCCACCCGACTCCAGAGCCGTTTCCCTTAAAAAGGGTTACTTTTTCCATTGATTTACACCCGGCAAGATTAACAAAGAACCTGAAAATCACTGGGTTGTGGAGGAAAGTAGTCTTCCAAAGGTCCATTTTCAGGTTCCATGTTAATCTTCCTCGGTGTATCAATCCTTTGGGGATCTGGAATGTGAAGGTGAACTTTTTTTTTTTCCTCCTGTTTAGTTGGGGAAACCCATCCCCCAAAAAGGTGACTTGCAGGTTATCCCCCTTTCCTGCATAGGCAACGCTGTGACACCATGGGCCTGCCTCTGCGATCTTCTACAGAAGGTGAAGGGACATGATGGGAGATCAAATCTAAGGGTTTAGGGCTGTTGCAGAGGGGCCTGCGGGCCATCCAAATACCAGCTGTGTGGGAACCACGTATAGTGCAACAGGGCCACGTCATGCACCACGGGCGCTGCTGTCCCAACCCCCGAAAGGCGCCGCCCTCCTCGGTCATGGGTACTTGCTGCTCTTTCGCGCGCTGCGTCAAAGTCATGAAGTCACCCCCGTGGTAAGGCTCCCCGACCATGTAGTAGAACCTCAACGCGCTCGCGGCTCGCGTGGGCGACGCGGGCGAGGAGGATTGTGTCCACCGGTCCACCAGACGGCCACTGAAAAGGCAACCACCTTTGGGCTACAGGGTGGGTCACGAAACACATCACTGGGAGAGAGAGAGAGACCTGGCCCCCCGTTCGCTGCTCAACCTGATCACGAGCTAAGAGGCTAAGAAGGTCCCTACGCTGGGTCCAATGAACTTCCGCCACCGTCCTCGCGCGACCGGTGCAATGAACGCCACCACACGCTCTGGTTGCTGGTTTCTGGTTACAATGACGCAAAGATTGTGAGTTAGCCACAATCGCTGCGCATACAGGCCCTGCTCCCCCCCCCTTCTGCTCTCTACATTTCAACACATTTTTGCAATGTGATCGAGAGTTAATGTGCTGGTAGTCGCAGGAGTAGGAGGAGGAGGAGGAGGAGTAGTAGTAGTAGTAGTAGTAGTAGGAGGGCACAGCGCTTCCTACTAAGTGAAGGTTTCTGGCTGTCACGCTAGGCCAAGGTCGGCCTATCATCCACCTTTGTGGCTGCGTCAATGCAAAGAAGATAGTAGTCGTGGTAACTGTGGTAAGACTGGCAGTGGGGTGGTCGGAGTGTTGGAGGCACTGGTCGTAGCAGGGGTAGTGGCAACTGAGAATGCAATGCCGGATGGGGTGAAAGAGTGATTGAGTGAATGAATGAATGAATGAATGAACGAATGCCACTCATTCGCCCTCTGGGACAGTTTGCGGCCTCTCCATGCTGTACCTGTGGCCCACCTCCCTTCAATGTCAATATTACACTACGCGGTGCATGGGGAAGAGACCGCTGGTGGCCCTACGCAAGCCTTTTCACAGCCCGATCAACGCCCGCGGAGGTGCGGTCGCCGTGCCTCGCGCTGCAGGAAAGCAAGTCTAGCAGCAAACGTGGACCGGCACGAAGAGTGTCGGCTTGTTCTTCCTCCTCCTCAACTTCCCAAGCATCAACCTCCACCTCCGGATCAGGGCCGACCTGAACTTCTCCTTCCCGCGCAAGCGCAGTCTCCCCCTCCCTCCTCACCAAGTTCTTGAAGGCCTTGGGCCGGCTGGTCCCAAGGCCTTGAAGGGATTCTGTGGCTCCGGAAGCAGCTGCTTGCGCTTCTCAGTCATGGCTGGCAGCTTTGAAATACTTGGCAGTGGCAGTGCTCTCTTCAAAACGTTTCAATTATATAATATATTCTTTGCAAGTTTGGCAGCGTTGTCGTCTCCTGGGTCGTCAGGACTTGGGGCAGCTGCGGCTGCCGCCGGAGCTCGTGAAGGTTCGGGAACTCCCATAGAAGCATTCTCCGGTTCATCGGGTTGCACCGTCCTATGAGTGCTAGACGAGGTCAGATGTGCTCGAATCAATGCATGAATGAGCGCTGAAAGACAGCCAAGGTTCGCGTTGAGAGGTTTCCACCGGCGCTGGAGGAGGATTCACCCCATAGTACCGAGCAAAACCTATCCTCAATCCTGGCAGCCACCCTGCAAAGCAGCTCCTTGGTCTTGGAGAAACTCCAAGGGTCCACACACCACATCCTACCTCCTACTCGTCCCCTCCCCACCTCACTTGAATTTCAATCCAATCTTCATCTCCTTCCTCTTTTCCTCCACACAGGTGCAAACCAACCTCAAATCCCTCCCGGGTACACCCGGAGTGAGGAGACTCTCCATCGGCCTCCGGCGAGATGGGGCGAGGATTTTCTGAACATGTGCGGGAGCAGCCGTCCCGGGCTGCGCGAGACGAACTTGAACAACTGGGCCATCTATCCCGAGTGCAGTCAGACCATTGGAGATCTCTTTGTGAACCTTGAGCCCTTCAGACTGGACTTCGGTGAGAAATGCAATGCTCAAAGACATACGGGCCAAAAGGCCCATCTGTGTGGAGGGCGCAGCTAGCACCCCACTACCGAAGCTATCTCTCTACTAGGGAGCTACCAAGATTGAAGGACCGCAAGACCAGCGGACTAGGAGACCAAGGGACGAGGTCTAGGTGCCCACTGGACCAAGAGACCGAAGGAGCAAGAGACCAGCGGACCAGGAGACCGAAGGACCACAGGGCCAGCGGACCAGAGGACCAAAGGACCAGGGGACCTAGTCAGGATTATCTTTTTTTGATCCCGTTCTTTTTTCTTGTTGATCCTGTTCTTTGTTTCTTTTTGATCCTGTTCTGTTTTTCTTTTTGACCCTGATGCCAGAGAAACAGCTGTCGTAGCTGGCGAAATACATTGGAATAGTGTAGGTGTCAGATTCATTCCTACCTATCACAGCAGTTTGGTGCAGACATTTCACAAATTTAGTTACGCAGGAAGCATAGCATAGAAAGAGCTGTGATGGATAAGTAGTATTTTTCGCAGCTTTGTACTGTACATATTGACCTTATCACCGTATGCATTGGCTCAAGAAAAAGGTGTAGCATTTTGGCTGTTTCCTATCTGAAATAGGTTATCAGCCGTAGGTCTCACTTCTTCCTTTGCTCTCCGTCCCACGTGTTCCTCCCATGGCAGGACTCGGGTATTTTGCAATAATCGATTTGTCATCCGATCGGGACCATATGTCCACACGTGAGGAAACGCCTGAAGTTGCCAGTTCCACTGCGCTCGTCCCGGAAGGTTATGGGTTTTTGGACACGCCGTTAGGGCCTGACATTCCCCAGTACAACCATCCTGTGGCGAGTGCTAGCGGGAACGCTGTGCCGGTCAACTTGAGTAATACACATGTGTTGAACCAGCACTTGCGTGTTCACCAAGCCCCAACCACCGACACCCGGTTGCTTGAGGCAGTTGCCGAGGAACGACATCGGCATGCCGTGGACATTCAAAGTGAACAACTCCTATTGGTGAGTACCCAGCGTAACGAAATGAGAGTTCAGGGTTTGAGGTTTATGAATGAGGCTGAACAAATGTTTCATGAGAACGCGGTTGTGAAACAGGAAGCCAGTGCTTTCGTTGAAGCAGCCCAAAAAAGGTATGAGGCGTACGCCGAGGCTTCCGCAGCTGAGCATAGGTCCATGAAACAGCATTACGAGAGTCAGATGTTAGATGCACGTATTCGAAGTGATCATGCCATTGAAAAGTGCATGGCTACCATTGAATCGTTGAACAACCATGTTGAGCATCAGAATCGGCAAACTGAGAGTCTTCATTTGGAGTTGAGACAATCCATGACGAAACAAACTGATCTTCAGAACCAGCTGACTGCTCTTCGTGACGCCAGGCAACAGAATGACCTGTTCAATTCATGGTCCGCCGTTCGCGGGCCGGAAGGTCCAGCCATTCTTGGTCCTAGGGGTCTCCCAATGATTCGAGCCGGGGTATCGACGAATCACATGGCCAAGACTATCCTCCATCCATTCCCAATCCAGCTGTGCTTCGACAGACAATCAAGCAAGAACCAAACAATTCCCCAGTTTCTAGACATGAACCCACTCACGATTCCTTTTTTGGTTCTCCGTTCAACTCCATGAGATCGGGTGAAGTACCAGTCCCACAGCTTCCACTGGGTGCCAATGGTCAGACCGGGAATGCTCCGAACGGAGCACCAGGGGGTGACCTTTTGTCCGCCTCAGCCACAAGGTGGAGACAGGCCTCCAAAGGGAGATGACGCCAAGGGGGCCGGGTCTGAAGAACCAGACGATCCTGAGGATGATGGCGATGATGGGGACGATGACGATGACGAGAGTTTTCAGGTGGTGTTTCCGACAAGAATGCGTTATAGAAGAGTGTCCCGCAAGAGTGCTCCTTAGAAGTGGCACTTTGTAGCGCACATGTAGTGTGGGAAGCAGCTCCTGGCAGCTAAGACAGGCCACTTGGTAGTGCGCATGTAGTGCGGGAAGCGGCTTCTGGCAGGTGCGGCCTCAGAACTCTTCACTTGGTAGTGCACATGTAGCTTCTGAGAGCTGTGGCCTTAGAACTGTCAACTTGTGTGGCCAAATTACATCTGAGTACGTGAGTGTCGCACGTGAGTGTCCCACCAGCGTGTCCCGCAAGAGTGTTGCGCAAGAGTCCACAAGAGTGTCATACAACAGTGTCCTGCAAGAGTGTCTCACAGAGTGACGAAAGTGTCGCACGAGAGCGTCCCACAAGAGTGTCTCCTACAAGAGTGTCAAAAAAAATGTTTGGGCTTTTGTTTTCGACCATGAGTACGTGTTTGCATTCTTCCGTCTTGTTGCAAATTCATGTCCAGGCAAAGTGCTTGCCTCTCTGGCAATGCAGTCATCTGCAAATTGTCATCTTTGCATCCCATCTGCAACAAACACACATCGCTCATCTCTTCCGTTTGAGCGATGCACAAGAATTGTGCTGGAGTGCATTCGCCGTGCGCGCCAAACGGTCAGGGTGAGGCGCGCAGAGAACATCGACGAGTAGGGTGCCACTTCAGGAAGACTCCCGTATGGAAGTCGAGCATCGTAGATGGTCCCGCTCATCTCGTCACCCTGCCCCATCTGTGGGGACACGGTGAGGAAATATGTTTGAGCAGTGTGGTCCCAGTAGAATCGTGATGGAAGGACGTCACCATGGGCTCCATAGTTCTGGTGGTAGCTGCGGATGCAAGATCGAATATTCCAGCCCAAATCTCTGACCCGTTCATCAAGGCTGCACGCAGATCTATGAGCTTCACGCTCAGCGAGTCGCTGAAGGGGGGTAATGTTTGCACCACCATGTCTTGCGCTTCAATTCCAATCTCCAGATGCGCCAAGCACAGAGTAAGTTTTCTGTCCATGGGTTGATGCCAACAAGAGCATGGCCCGCGCCACAAGAAACCACTGACATCCAAGAAAAACCCACCAACACCTACCCTTTGATCTACCCTTGGGCCCTTCGAACCTTGTAAACCTCCAAAAAGCCACCAGAGCCTTTTGGGAAGCTCCGAGACCGGTGATCCGAGCTCTCCGGCTGGCTATCCTGAAAGAGCTCCGTCACCTCAGCCCGTAGAGACGGACCGGTGAGACCCAATCGCGCCGAGACCGAGCAAAAACCGCCGCTCGACTGAAAAAAGAGCGATCACTGGAACGACTGGAATCCCCTTGAAACACATGACTGGAATCCTACCATGACCCATGACTCCCACTAAATCCCAGGCAAACCACTATTTTCCGGAACCAGGGATTCTTTGGAACCACTGGGACTCCCAGCGACCTAGTGGGTTGGCACTGGGTCATGGAACTGGATCAGCCGTGGGGAGTCTGGGGCGTTTGGCACCGCGAGTCAGGACGGTGCCAGACCGTCTTCTGTACATCCAAGGAACGGCCACAAAACGGCCATGCACTTGAAAAAAAACAACGTTTCTGCGGTCTCGGCTTGATCGAGAAAAGTGAGCCGAGGCTTGGATGATCGAGGGTGGTCGGATTGGACCCGATCATGGTCTTGGGATGAAGGAACTCTCACATCTGTCAGATTGGTAGCACACGTCGTTTTGTTTTTGGGTCCCCTAAATGGTTCACACCCCGGGTTTTGCCATGGTTTTGCAGGTCTTCAATTCGGCCCAGTTCCCGGATTCTGACCCGGGGGCAGGAGAGACTCTCTTCCGCGATTTCGAGGGGGCCGTCCCACCGGGTCGACCGACTTCCGGGATTTCTTCCGCCCCCCCAAAAACACCCACACCACTCCTTCCACCACGCCTCTCAGGATCCCCCCACGAACGAACCCACGAACCACTGCACCACCCGCTCCGACCGGTCTCCGACCGCCGCGGGTTCCTGCCGAGGGGCGTGTGCAATGTTGTCGTGCGCCAAGAGCTGAAGCCTTGGAGCTGCCGACGTGGGACGACCGGCAGGTTGGGTCTGGCTGGTCTCTGTTTCCTCCGATGGACCCCGAGGTGGGGGAACGCGCGGCCGTCGCTGTCTGGCTTGATGCATGATGTAGTAAATTACGCATGCCAGCTTCTTCAAAGTGACCTTCTTGGAGTGCCTAAGTGACCTTTCACAGGCCCAAGTGACCTCAAACAGAGATATCAAAAGGTCACTTTGAAGAACCAGGTGCATGGGTTTATACATAAATAAAACAAAGGGAATCTTGAATCATCTTGAACCCAAATCTTGAAGCTATGGGCCGAGGGCAGAATTATACTTTCAAGACAAACCTCATCTTGCTGATGCGTCGAGTGGAACCTCATCCGCACACCACGAAGAGGGGGGCGCTAGTTGAAACAGTTGCTGCATGCGAAAGGGTTCTCGCTGTGGGTCGTTTTTCACCACAAGGCCTTTCTTGACCTGTCCTCGACCAAACCGCCGCGCTTCCCCCAGCTTTCAAAAACAACCTGCTCTAATCGTTCACACAGTCCACCTTGGCTGCCGATTGAGAGGTCTTCCACTCAGAGAGTGAAACAATACCCTTTATTGAGAAACCTGGTTTCGTGTCTGCTCTGAAGACAGGAACCCAACAAATACACACATCATCACCAGGGTTCAAGCAAATCTGCTCGGATCCTGAGCAGATCCTGATCCGCCCACATTCCGGTTTCTTGGCCTCCCCACGTCTGGAACTCTTCCTGCAACTCTTCGATCCCCGAGATGCTCATCCTGGCGAGGCCACGAGCCAACCGTTGTTGGACTTGGGTTGGTCCTTGCCCCTCTTTAATGAAGGGGTAAACCAATCGAGATGTTCGGGGAGTCTATTTTGGGCCCTTTTGCCAAAAACACCCGAGCCAAATGCCACGTTCCACCGAGTCATATCCATGCTGGGACGCGTCTGCTGTCCGCTGTCCGCTGTCTCGGGCGACACCCGGAACCCACCGACGGAACCCACGTCGACCGAAGGCACCAACATCGAGACCTTTCCAGGTCTTGCAACCCCAAAGCAGGCCAGCGAGCACGAGTCTTTCTTGAGGCACTTGACCTCGTCTTCCGCGGCGGAGGCACGCCGCGGCCGAGGCGAACGCTGCGGAGCGGCGTCTTCCAGCGGAGTCCGTCGACCCAGCGAACGCGTCCCGACGTCCGGGAAAGTCGGGTCGACGAGGGATGCCCTACGGGCGTCAAAGAATCGAAGGGCAGAAGGGGTTCAATCTTGAAAAAGCTCAAGAAAACCATCGATGTTTTCGTGAACGACCTCCGCGTCCTGACGTATGCACTCCCAAAAACCCCGAAAACACTCTTCGTTGATGGGGGCCTTGAATCCTTCGATGGGTGGTCAACCAAAGATCCGACACACACGCACACATCGGCTGCAAGGCCGGCCCTCCCCCCGAAAACCAATAGCAAACATTGTTACTACTAGTAAGGCACTTGTTACTAGAAGCGATGCACTTATTACTAGTAGCTTCTTGTTACTACTAGTAAGGCACTTGTTACTAGAAGCGATGCACTTGTTACTAGTAGCGAACATTCTCTTTTGACCACACATCGCTGTTTCAGTTCTTAACAATCACATTTTTGTATCGAAGCATTCTCCTCTGCTCTCGTCGTAGCGTGTCCCGAGATGTTCTGGGCGTTGGACGCAGAACTCCCGGCCGGTGGGGTCCTGCGAACCCAACCGAACAACTGAACCACACCGACGGGAGGAGGATGGAAGAGGATCAGGTGTTCTTTTCACCTTCCGGGAGTTCGGAGAGGGGCAACATTGAGGTTTATAAAGTGGAGGGACACTGGTGTCCTGCTGATTGCTTTCACCAAAAGGCTTTCCAGTCGATGACATATGTGAGGAGTCCAGATTCCAGTCTGCAGGAGTTCCACACAATGACGACTTCGTCGTCCCCTGGCGGGAGCTGGTTGGGGGATTTCCATTCTCAGGAACTGTCGGGTAGAAATCGCTACATCTTCCTTCCCCCACCGCGGATTGGGATTTTCCACACCCTCTGAGGCCAAATGCTGGTATAAGCAAATGCTCAGGCTTGTTGGATGGATGTTCCCTGGAGGCCATATGAGGCCATATGAGGCCATCACCCCACCCGGCGGAGTTCAAGGTGAAGGTTCCTTTGTCTGCCGTCATCTGCTGTCTCGACCGTCTCGCTTTGAGCTCTTTCTTGCGTGCTTCATAAGTACCAGGTCTAGCAAGGCAACTTGGTTGTATGGGGTGAAGGTGAACTCTGCACGCTGATCGAATGGATAGAGTCAGGGCCCTCAACCAACATTTCGATGCTTCCTCACTTCCTCCAACTTTCCCAGTGTAGCTAATATGTAAGTTGCCAGACTTTGCCACTTCAATGACACATGGAATTGGACAAGGCAGTTCCGAATATCTTCAAAACCCTTGCAGTGGCCAGCTTGCACCTGGGACAAAGGAACCCCACAAAAATAAGAAGGAACCCATGAGACAACGCAACCCTCCTTCCACGTTGAGAGGACGGGCAAAACAGGACTGGAACGTTCAATCCGCCCAAAAACGACTGCCAAGTCTTGAGGCGGATGCGAAAAACACATGGTCTTGCGTGGTTCAACCAAATCATCTTCGTATGTCGCAGTCAGTGTTTGGCTTCGCACAAAGCGGGGACCATCTTCGGTGACTCGTGGGGACCGCGCGCGCGTCCGCGGCGCCTTCGCAAGCTTGGCCACCCCTTGGCTTCCACGACCCAGTTCCTGAGGCTGAGGGTGCACAGCTGGCAAAAATGACAGGACAGGACCGAAGTTTCTACACACCAATCAAACTTTGGGATAGATAGCCTGTGACCAACCTGAATGCTGAGCTGGTGTCTACACACCTTTCCGGATTCACTAGAATTCTTCACTTTTCCTTCTTTCGGTTTTGCGGAGCAGCTGTTTTTGTCAACTTTCTCTTCCCAGTGACTGCCTGGGTGGACTGCCCCAGCATATGTACAGGGCAGCGGCCAAAAAAAAACTGCGTCATGGGTAACTTGACAGCTGTCACTTGAATCGTCAAGAACAGTCAATTGCGATGATTTATCTGCCCGGTTCTTTTATCGTTTTACCTAGTTACTCGAAACATTTTTTCTTGCCGCTTGGCACCTGAGACTCTGGTGTGTTGGCAGCAATCGTTCGATGGGTTTTTACGGGTGAACACAGCTGATACATTCCTTTTGTCTGTCCTCTCAGACGAGGATCAACTTTATTTCTGTGTTGTCACCCTGGAGAACTTTTGGAACTTGGACCTTGACTCTTCGGTCGGCACGCCGGCCGGGATATTCCTATTGAAAGGGGAGAGTCAAAGGCTTTGATCGGAAGTGGTGCAATCCCCAGTGCAAAGAGAGGGGCCGATTGGAGTTTGATCTCGACTTGCTCATACTTGCACGGACCAAGCCCCTCTAACAACCAGCCTTTGCTTCTGTTTGGGCTTCCGACGCAGAGCCCAACCCCAAAGCCACCAGCCTTGTAAACGGTATATCCTGCTTGCTGAAGAGTGCGGAAGGGCATGTTCACCTTCCAGCTGGGGCAGGGGAAGGGAAGGTCGTCACAAGGTTTAGAGTTTAAAGCTGCATCCTCTGGACAAGGGGTGATCAAGTCCCCCACGAACTAATCGGCCCTGTTTGACCCAAGTGGGCTTCCGCTAAGCACACAGAGCCCCAGCGAGAAGCTGACTAGTGCTTGAGTCTGGTGCGCCAGGACGTGATCATGATGTTGGCCGGTCGTCTTGCCAACAATCCACACAAAACCCACGAGCTGGTTCTCTAACATGCTGCTGCTTGCCCCAACATGTGAACGAAGAGCTTCTTCGCACGTTTGATGTACCTGTGTTGTGTTCCCGTGCTGTCAACAGTGCTTTAATCTAACCGGTGATGTCTGCTGCGATCGTTTCAGACCATGGCTTCGCCGCCCACTTCCCAAGTTTGAAAAGACGATGATCATGATGACCACAGCATCTTGAAGACCTTCTTCTCATTTTGTCAAGAAGCCTTACCAAATCAGTAGGCGCCGTGAGTGCAGGAGCGACAGACTGTGCAAACACCAACTACTATCCAAGCACTCTTTGTTGACCAACAGGTCATTCTTGTAGCAATCCTCACAAAAGATCATACAACGGCTAAGGTGCAAATGGGTCTTAAAGAGGTTCTGTAACTCTTCGAAAAGCCACCTTCCAGCAACAATGATGTCGTGCCTTGCATCGACTGGGGCCCACTGCAAATGGGCGGATCTGGACGTCAGACCATTCTGCATCTGACACTTTCTCATCTTTCTGACCCAGAAACTATCCTTGTGGGAATGGAAACTATAGGAAACGAAGCAGATGAAAAACACGAACAGATTTTCTGACTACCGTTGTGGGAATGGCTTCTCTTTTCTACCGTCTCGGTGTCCTCTATTCCACGACCGAGATCGATCGAGGCCGACGTCCCGGTCGACAGATGGGACGGTGATGGGACGGTGTCGACCGTTGGTTTCACAGGCTGACTGGTGCGACTGGAATGAGAGAATGGATCCTAAGGTATTCCCTGATCGTGAGGGGTCATTCCCTCCCTACTAAGATACCAGGTAGGCAGGGTAGGCCTTTGTTCACTAGGTGTGGTTCCCTGGCGGTCGCACCGACCGTGGTGACCAAAACGGGACCACCATGGTTACGGAGCATCCGCTGGCGTAGCGGAACGGTCATCTTCTTTAAGAAGAGCAGTCTAAGACTCCAGTCATGAGGTTGAGGTCTCTTTCTAGAACGAGAACCATCGTGAACCAACACCATTGGGGATGGACATGCCCAGTTTCTGTGCAAACAGAAAAGAACACGGGTTCCTTTCCTTTTTGACCACCACTTGGAGATTGAGGAGGGGTTCGATCCCCCATTGATTCTCAGCCCAAACAACACATCGGATCTGGAGATCACCAGAGATCGTCCAGTCGACCAGTCCCTGTCGGTGACGGATCTGGAAGAACACCGCCCCCTCGTCGCCCCCGAAAAAGACAAGCGCTCGGTGAACAAAAAACGCCAAACAGGTTTTTCGACTTCAGTGTTCCACCTGCCACTGCCAAAACCTTCGGGTCAATCCATGGTCTGACCGACTCTCCACAAGCGCCGAACGTCGATGTCAGACATGGCCGGAGGCACCGGCCGCGGAGGCACCGGCCGAACTCGACTCCGCCTCGAAAGCCTGAACTCCTCAGGTGAACGAAGACACCAATGCGGATGGTCTCAGGTCTCTTCATCGATCCACTCCCGGTCTCATCACCGTGACGCGGCCATTTTGCAGCATGTTCCATCCGAAGACCATAGTGCGGTCCAGGTGGGTTGTTTTCTCCATGAAACCATGAAACCATGACAGGGAGGTGTCATTCCTTCAATGCCAGGTCTCTCGGACCAAAGGCCAGGCCATTCTGGGCTCCCCCACCCGATCGAAGACGGGACGTGAACACTGGGCTCGCAGGGGGGGGGTCCATGTCCGAGCACCGTTCGTCGTTCTCGACCGGAGACCGAAAGAACCTCTAAGGCAGCAAGACCATTTCACACCATCTTCTCCCTAGTTTCCCTCCCCAGAATCACTTCCAAACACATCACTTCCAAACCAGAATCACATCCCACCAAACCATACCCGGAAAGAAGTCCAGGTCGACCATCTGTTCAGCGAAGAAGCCAGACGGACGATCTGACGTCCAGGTCCCCCAGGAAAAGATCCTTCTTTTGATAGGGCACTTGGACACCGAGTGGATGTCAGACACCTTCGGCCGCCAGCACAGCCGGCGCAGTCTCGTCGACGGCGGCGCGTAGCTCGTCGCTCGCTCTTGCGCACGCCGCGTCTGCGCGTCGCACGTGCCTGGTGCGTCTCTCCTCCCAACTGCTTCCGGTATTGTCGTAGCTGATGCCTCTCACGCTCCGTCCGTTTTTACTTTTCACGCCGTCCGAAAAGGGTGGAATAGTGGAATCCGGTGAAGCAAAGGGTGACATCCACCTGCTTCGTGTTGTTGAACCAGTGAGGTTTCACATGGGTTTTGCCCATCCTCCGCAAATATGGAGCTTTGCCAGGTTGTCCACTTGTCCTGGGTAGGACATTCCTTCAAACTTGTTCAGAATCCGGTAGGGTTTCGTCAATACCCCCCAAAAGGTGACCTGCCAGATGATTCCCTTTTCCTTTTCCCCTGCTAAAGCTTCACAACTCGCGGCCCCAAGGTTGAGACCAGATCCAAATAAGTGATGATGTTCACCTTTATGATGTCCACACCATCCACGCTGCTTGCCCCAACCGATTTCTGCCACCACTACGACCATCCACACTCCACCGCCAAGCAAAAACGACCCTCCCGCGATGAGGACTGACCCCGCGCTCCGCGGTCCGCCCGCGGTCCGCCCGCGGGGCTCCGGGCTTCACGACCTTATAGACTTCGTTCACTTCCAACCTCGGCAGTGATTCACTTCGCCCAGTCACTTCGCCCGGCCGAGAACTGGGTGGGGGGGTCACGCGACCGGACGTGGGGTCGCGTGGGACGTGTCGTGGGTCGGGGTCGAGCAACAGCGGTCGGTTGGGGTTTGGTGGTGCCAACTTCGATGACTCGCAACGAGAGGACACAGATATAGAGACACCACTACCAGGACCCTCCTGGCCAGGCTGTTTGGAGACCCGACCACAGGTGGTTTCTGGACACCTGTTGTCACCAGGAAACACCTGTAGAGTCGGGTGCTGGTAGAGATACCAGACCTGACTGGGAGGCTTCCGGTCATCGATCTGGTGACCTGGTCAGACCTTCCGCCCCTCATCGAACAAACGTGTCTTTTGCGTCCTTTCGTTTGAACCCGCGAACGGTATCAGCTCGCGGAACGCTTGGAGTTCGGGCCCTGAGGTCTATATGGCCTATAGGGAATGGATTGACCAAAGCTCTGGGAAATGGATCGCCTAGTGGATGGAACACGAAAGCTCGTTGAGATCGGTGGGGTGAGCTCCCTTCGGGTCCCTCCTCGATTGGGATGGAACCCCCGGGGTCCCAAGGGAAATTGCAAGGTAGCACACACCGGAATTGCAAGGGGTCAAGCATAGCTCTATCCCGCCAACCCCACTTCAGGTGCTTTCCACATGTTTCACCACCCGTTTTCCACCATCTCTGGCGCCCCGGCATGCCGCTGCCATCGAAGTCGAAGCAAAGGAAGTTGTCTCGGCGAGCGGCCCGATCGCGTCGATCGCGACGAAGCTCGCTCGTGCCGCTCGTCGAAGCAGGCTGTACCGCGTGGTCAGACCGCAATCTCTTGACATGTGACTCCGGCACGAGTTCGGCACCCAAACAACACCTTCGTTTGGAGCCGAAAAAGGCACATGGAGTTGGCTGCCGAACTTGAAGGAAGTCGGGAGTGCCCCATTCTCCATCCACCGGATGGGACGAGCCAAACCACCCACCCAACCAGGTCTTACATGTGACTCCGTTCTCATCGAGTGGTCTCCATGGGCCCTCCTTGGAGTGACCCGACTTCCGAAAAAGACTCCGGTCCGGTCACCGAGTCATTTATCTGCTGACTTCAGCATTGGGAAATCTTTTCATATTATCAAATCTTTTTGGCCAATCCAGTTCCACTCCCGGTGAGGCCGACCATGTCTACGGATTGGTCGCGAACTGAAGGTCTGAAGGTCGTTTCCATCAAGTCTTGGCTTTCAACACCCTTCTTCTTCCACCACACCTTACCGGTTTTGCCGGCTTTCATTGTAGCCTTGGTTGGCTCCTTCTATTTTTTCCGCCCCAACAGGTCAGGTCCTTCACGAAGGACAACCTCGCGGATGATGACCGGATTCCAAACACCCCGGGCATCCCTCACTTTGCAGGTCGCCAAAGGCCACCATCGGCAGCTCCAGCACCTTCGAGAGAGCCTCGTGCCATGGAGGACTCGCCCGCAACGACGCGGCCGAACGACGCGCATGGCCGAACTGAAGCACGTCGGCTCCAGTCTTTCGTGCGAGGAACGTCGAATGGAACATGTGCAGCGTCAAAGCCAGAGCACTGATGACCCAGACACGACTAATGGGACTGCCATATGGGGTGGCTTTAGGGGTCAATGTATGTAAATATGCCAGTCCCTTGGAGTGTCTGGGTATGAATAATTAACATGTCCCTGGAAGTGCAAGACCATGAAAAGACAGGTGGACCTGGTGGACCTAGAAATCCTTGGTAGAAACATATTGCTGTCACGTCTCGCGTGTCACGGACCCTTCAAGAATCGTGCTTGGAAGCCTATAGGGTGTATCTATATATGTACTTTATAGGATGGCTGGATCCTTTTGGGCAACGGAATGCATCACACACTGGTGCACCAACGGACACGTGTCCAACGGACGTCGAACGGACTGCCCGCGCCTCGCAGACCTGCGTCAAGCCATCGCAGTCCACGCAGTCGTCGTCCTCCTCCACTCCTCGGGTCGGGGCGAGTGAAGAAGCGGCTTTGGCTGGTGTCGTTGTTGTTTTCGGTTTTACAAAAGGAGGGACCAAAGGACCAATGAAAGACAGAAAAAAGGATCCAGATCAAACCAGACCTCGCTGACTCCCAGCCGAGAAGTAATTTCCATGTATTTATCATTCTATTTTGCCAGCCCTTGTACAATCATGTTGGCAAAGACTGTCTTGAGTCCAACCTATGACAGCAGTGAACTGTTGTGCTACTCCGGTGGGCTCGAGGAACAGGCCTGAAGGCTCGTGTTTCCCGCCCCCCAATCATGCCTCAAAACCTTCACAGCGGAGTGGAAGAGCGTCGCCATGGTCCGGGTTCCGATGATTTGAGGTTTGAAACCCAACCTGCGGCCAACCCAGCAGCTCCTCCCAGCCTGAAACAATTAAATACATATTGACACCAGCATAGGCATAGGCCCCAAGCAGTTTCAGCATGATGTTTTTGGGTATCAACGGCATCAACTCTTTGAATTCCAATGTTGGTGGTAACGCCTATAATTGTAGGAGCAAGGGACGCTACTAGGGGCTCCTGGCCTTACTACTAGGAGCAAGAAGCTACTAGGGGCTCCTGGCATCGCTACTAGGAGCAAGGACGCTATTTTTGGGGCAGCTTTCGGCGCCAGCTTGCTGCTGGCAGCTGCCCAGCGACATCAAAGGCGGGTAACCTTCACGCACAGCCCGAGCTCGCGCCTGGGCCGGCTCCACCACTACTCCTTTCTGCCTCATGTTCTGCTTAAAAAGCATTGCGAGCGTAAGAGGCTTTGGCATGTGGACTTCAAGCACTTGTGGCACTTCTGGCGCTTGCTCTTTGCTTGCTCGGAGTTTCCGGCTTGGCGCGTAGGCTTTCCACACCTTTCAGTGGGCTGTAGCTTTGGAAATCACTGGCGGCTGGCGCTTGCTCAGCGCACAGTTCCTTCAGTGCCCAGTTGCTTGTTCAGCGATGACGTGCGAGGACCCTTTTGTCCAAAAACCCAAAATGTGACGACGCCCGGGTCAAGCAAAACCTTGTCCCCACAAAACCTCGTTATGCATAGAGCCTTTAGAGCCTTAAGACTTACAAAGGGTCCTTGTGCTCCTGTCTGTCAGCGACCACATCGACCCGGTCCCCTCAATACAGGCCTCAAAGAGGGTGTTGATGCCAAACACATGAAGCATCAAAAACAAATCCCAGACACTCCATGTATGCAATATATGCCTCCATTGACCCCCTATCATCACCCAATGTGGGCATTATATGGCAGTCCCAGACAGGTCGTGTCTGGGAATGGCATACCAAAAGCACCAACCCAGCGGCTGAGACCTTTGGGACACCGAAGGTGCACAGCTTTTTTACACGCTCCACGGTAGACCCTCGAACCACGCGCCCAGGTCGGTGGGTTTCCACACGCTTGAAGCATTGCACCACGGCCCGCTTCAGCACATTCCGGTCCTGCCCAACTCCGGTGGATTGACCGAGCGACGTTGAGGACGTAACACTGGAGCCATCGATGGTGAGGGCAGAAGAGGTGACTTGATTCGTGAAGGGACAATTCAACAAAGATACTGCAAAGAACATCGAATCTCATGAGTTGGTGTGTGTTTTCTTTTTTTTGGGGGTTCCCAACCAAAATGGTCTCCATCTGCATTTCTATTGAAAAAAACAAAAACATCACTCCCGCGGGGGTTCTGAACGATGCAAAACCATCCACTTGGGTTCTCACCTGACGCATCTTGACGCTGGTCGATCCGCTCACACTATCGACAAACCCCCCACAGCAGCGCCGCGCCGGCCACAACTCGGACCCCTCTTTGGCGTTTTGGGCCAACGACCCACGTCACGGTCCAATGACAAGCAATGACCCGACCCGACCACCCACCCCGTTCCCACTTCGTCCATCGGGTGTGGGGTTGGGCACGCGACGGTCCTTCAGCAACTCGCTGATGGTGTCGATGGCCTTTTGCCCCTCGACACGTCCGCGCCCGACCGACGGAGACCGCGCGGTCGGGACGGGGGACGGAATGAATGAACTAGGTCTGGGAAGATGAGGACCCCAGACTTGCGTTTCAACACACGCACATGTAGTATACCATTGTGCCAAGATATTTTGTGCTTGGGTTTTGGTGCGAGCCTCTCCAAATCCGCGCCCAACATGGCCGGAACCCTGTGTGCTCCGGTCAATTCCGTGATAGGGCCACTACATAGTCCCCGGCAGCTGAAGAAAGGCAGCGTTGATGTACATTCCCCGGAACCGGTTTCGTGAACGCCACCAGCTTGAGTCGGATTTCATCATCGCACCCACATGTCAATTCCACGGAGTGTAGTCCAATACAGACCAATTCAATGTCTCAAAATCCAAACACGGTATAGCTTGGGTATATCCAATTGCGGGTAACGGTAACAGTCGATAGTTGGTACAGTAAAGGCCTTTTCCCCCCAAACATCGTGATCATCTATGACGGACCGTCTCATCATGTCACAACATTAGCTTCACGCAAAACGATAAAACACACACAAACAGGAATGGCTTGACACATTGTAAAAACCTCTTCCAGACCTTGGGGGTGGTCTGGGGGTCTTGAAATCTCCTCAAGACTCAAGTTGTCCATATACTGCATATATATATATATATACCTATATACTTCGAGGTCTTCTCCAGCCACACCCGCCACGTCCGGACGAAGCGACCGACCCACGGCGCAGCTTCTCCAAGGATCCCCACCGTGGCCGAGCGAAGCTGCCCGGTCCCGGCTGCCGCCGGCACGGCCACGGAGTGCGGCCGCAGCTGTGGCCTTGGCTTGAAATACTTGGAGGTGGAGAGTGGCTTGATTGAATGGGAAAGGAAGGAAGGAAGGAAGGGAAGGGAAGGGAAGGAAGGATTGAACCAATGGATGGATTGATTGAATGAATGGAAGAAACTTCTTGGAATCTCCTTGTCTTAGTTGTCTTGTGCTTTCGGTGTTGGATGTGCGGCCTGGCTAGATGCCCTCTGTGGCAGAATCTATAGACCCAGTTTCATTGCGAGCGAGGAGCAAAGTGTACCGAAGCAAGAAAGGGCCCTGTTGTGTCTGCTTCCACGTTGTCCAACCGACAAGTGTGATCTCTGTGTTTGGAATGGATTGCACAACGCATTTCGCAAAATAAAGAAACGACCTGTTTTTTAGAGCAACTCTACAATTCTACGAGTAGCTCAATCCCTGGCTGAATTTGTAATGAAAAGGAAGACCGCCTGTTTGCAAAGGAACATTGTCATCCCAGGGGTCATTTCCATGATCATTTCAAGGAGTGTAGCGCGGCCTGTAAATCTCTATAAATCACAGGTAAGTGCTTCTCAAGAAGGGAACCCCATCGGCACCGGAGGAAACGGCTCTGGTGAAGCTCGGGTGGACGTGGAGATCGTAGCTTCGAACGTTCACCAGTTGAACTGTGTGCATGACTTGGGCATGTCTTCGTATCCTCGCAGCATCTCTGGAAAATATCAGTATACACATGTGACATATTGTGACATGATATACCAATGATCCCAAAAACACCTGCAGACTTTTTCTTCAGACTTGCCCAACTTCTCAAACCATCCTCCCATCGCCCATCCTCCCATGCTCCCATCCTCTCTGCATCCGGGCTTGTTGGGGGAAATCGGCGAGGACGCGCTGCGACGGTGCTGGAAGGTCACCTGAACGTCCGCGAGGGTCGGTGACGTGAGGGAGACATGACCCACCCATATTAGGAGAACGGGGTAGTTTTTGAAAAGGATACATGGAAAAAACTGGGATTTGCTGTGAAGTGCCTGCCAATGGCCAAATCCTGGGCATCTGGCGTTAGGTTGATTGCTTGCGCTTGTGAGAGTTAACGACACAAAGATCTCAAATACCAACCCCTGCAGAGGCTCCAAGCCAAGAATTCCATATAGTTCTTGGGTCACCTGATTGAGAACTTGGCTCTCACATGATCCCGGCTGCCCACCATTTCTGTCACCGCCAAGTTAAGAGCCCTTCGAGTTCCAGAACACCAGGAGTCACATGTCGCGTGTCGGGGTGGTGTGTGAAACGTCGTCCCATCCAAAAGCCGTGGATGTGACGGATGGCACCCCGACTACCGACTACCTCGCACCCCTTGGATGTTTTCTGCTGGGGGAGTGCAGACCGGATGTTTTCGGTCTCTGCGCGGCGCGGCGCGGCGCCGAGCCACCGGTGACCCGCTTCAAACCCGGTGCTTCAAACCGGTGACAGCGAGGCATAGCGAGGCTTGGCAGCCACCCGTCGACCGAGGCGCAAAGGTGTTGGGGTGGTCGTTTTGAGGTTTCGGAGGTCGATTTTCCCGGCGAAATGGTCCAAAACAACACAGGTGTTGGGTGGACTGAATTTGTGGACATGTTTACAAAGGGTATGTACAACCATGCACTCATTTGAGAACAACAAATGTGACCCCGTGAGGCCCTGGGAACCATCATCGTCGCTCCAGTTTCGCCATCGCAAATCGCACAAAAAATGGATTGATTTGTTCTTCACTAATTTCAACGCTTGTAAAAAAAGGTAATGTCTTTTTTGGAGGAATTACTTTAATATATTCTTTTTTGACTAAACTTCGTGGAACATGCTTAGAGATCTTAGACGATGTGTGCGGCTGCACTCATCAACACATCGGACAAATCGCTAGAGCGTCGGACCAATCGCTCGAACAGCGCAATCGTCGCACGAATCGTCCGACCAACCGTCTCAAAGAGAGCACTGGAAACACAGTGATACAGCCTGTGATACGGCCTGTGATACCGATATACCTCTCTTTCTACGGTGCAAATTCTCGTTCCGTCTCGCACATCGGGCGAAGAGCGTTCAAATCTGCATGGACCCTGGGAGTCCAGTCGACTATCAAAAGAGCGGTCTGACGGTCTGACTAGGGGACCTGAGTTCGGGAACTTCCTTTACTTCAGCCGGTCCAAATATAGTCGAACTGGACTTCTAGGGTCTGTGATTCATCCTTCAGAAGCGCTTTTCGATTCTTTTGCACCAGCCTGATACTTCCGCTGGAAGAACAGGCTGTTGACTGACTTATAGCCCTGCCGACTCATGTAGAACATAAGCAGCATAGCCTGCTTGAGCACCTGTTCACCAACAAATCGTTTGGGAGGACCCCACAAACCCATCCAGGATGTATACCTGCTTGAAGCTTGACTGACAGACACAATGCATGCCAAGCCACGGGCTGTTGTGGGGCCTGCCACCCACAAAAACGGCGCGCAACAGCGGGGTTGGTATCATGTCAAACAATAGAATTCATGATTGAATTATTCCTAGAACTTGAGTGCTGTCTATTTTGGACCACCAACCACCCCAAAATAAGGTCTTTCCCCATCAAACATGGAGGTCATGTTTGGGTTCTAACTCGAGAGTCTCGCTGGTCCAGTCTCACTGAGTCGGAACCAGAGTCGAAGCAGTTCTCTTAACTGGAACAAAAGAACCGCCGCCCCAACAGCATATGGTTTGTATAGAGATAAGAAGTATATACCTTATCATACCTGATCCTTTTTCATTATTTTTTCAGAAAAACAATGGCTCCTGCGGCCACTTCCAGGGGTTTCTACATACCTCCGGCCACTTCCAAGGTTTCGAAGTTCGGCAGTCCGGAGACCAGGCTGGGAGACGGTGCCTCCGGGTTTGGCTCCGGGATGGTTGTACGTTCGCAGTGACTCGCTGACCTTCGTGCGAACGAGCCGTTTCGCCAAGGCCACCATGCAGCAAGTGACTCATATTGATTCCCATCCACATCTGATTCTCCTCCGCTTCCCCAGGCCACACTCCTTTCTTGCTCTTCGCAACTCGTGCGCAACTGCGGGGGCCCAAACGCCCGACACGGACATCGCGCACAAATCGCGCGGTGTGGCAGTGGGCGAAGACAGGGGTGCCACAACACAGGTCTTCACATCCAAACGGGTGGGGTTTGCAAAGGAGACATGAATCAGTCAGAATATGAATCAACGCCATCCAGTGACTTTATATAGTCGGTTTGCTCTAGCAGCCCTGATCTGTAGAACACAGGGGAACAAGCTTCTCACCATGGAATCCAGATATAATACAGCCGCTATAAACCCTAGTGCTCCAACTACCTCCTGACAAAATGGTTGGGGTGGGTTTAGGGGGTCTAACCAGTCTAACCACCGTCTAGGGAAACTTCTTTCAAGCTTTCTGTGTCTCATGGCACCACATTCTTGTGACACAGCTGGCCAACTCAAAGACACCAGAATAAATCAGCCTTACTCAGTCAAGACAATCACATTCCACACCTTCCGTTTCGGGGTATCTAATCAATGGCCTCTGAATTCAGGTGAGTCCCGCTCTTTTTTCCATTCACCACCCACTTATACCAGGGCCCCTGTTTGGGGTGGTTAATGAACATCCCTTAACCTCTATAATGAGCTATAATTGGACACCCCTTAGGGGGCCCTGGTATAGCACCCTTTTTCAAGGTTTTCAATGGCTTTGGCACGTTCAATCCACCCCCGTGGCGTCGCCCATGCGCGGCATTTCTTCCGGTGTACGGCATCGCCGGTCTGTACGGCCACCCGGCGGAGTGGAGGAGCGCGCGAGTGGAGGAGCCCGTGGAGCTCCACCCCACGGTGGATAGACGAGGAGAATGCAAAACGAGTGATTTGACCATTTCGTCAAATGGGAGATGAGCAAAGTGAGCTGTTTTTGTGGAAGTGTCTGACTTGGAAAAGACATTTGCCCTGCGCTTATTGGAACAAACAACAGGAGGCCTGTGAGGTGGACATCTTGCATGAGAATCAACAGGGTCCTGGGGGGTAGCCTCGTGAACGCCGAAAAGGCCGCAGGCGGCCAGTTCTCCGAACAAGGATCCCAACAAACAAACCGCCTCCCACTTCCAAAAGGGCTGCCTCGGAGGATCTGGCTATTCTCCGAGATCCCATGAGGTTCTCAACTGATGTTCTCAACTGATTCTCAGGGGGTTTCAAGGGGTAAACCACCGATGTCCAAGGCAAGTCCTGCCAGTCCTTTGAGTTCGGTAGATTGGATCACCACAAGCTATTACATGATCACCACAGAACCCCAGTGATGCCTGTTGACAGACAACACTTCGGTGCTGACCATCCCCAGCACCATTGGCATATTGACTGTACCTACATTGGGGTGGTTGTCCTGGGGTCAATGTATGTAGCCATTACATGAAGCGTGAAACGGATCTGGTTTTAAGCGGATCTCACCACCTGCGCTGCCCCCCGCAGTGTCAAGCGGCATCTTTTCGCCTCTCCATGCCACGTGGCATCTTCCTACAGGCGGCGTGATGAGGGGAGGAGACTTCTCCCCGTCTCTGGCGGCGCCAATGCGGGCAGGATAGTCGCCGGAGAGTCGCCGGCAGAGACGAGGAATGGCCCTGTCTCCGAGATGTCTCCCTAGCTGATTGGACCCAAGCTACTAGGAACAAGGGCAAGCCGCCAAGCAGCTACTAGTAGCTCCTGGCATTGCTACTATAGTAGCAAGAATGAAGCTACGAACGTAACAAGGACGCTATTACCCAAATGACCCACCGGCGGACACGACGAATCATAAAGACTCGACCTGTTCGATGGGAATGGATTGATCTGGGCTGAATGCTCTGCGCCTCGTAGATCCCCAGTTTGGTGCACGAGTTGGGTCCATCAGACATGAGTCTTCAGTCGTCCCAAGTATTTCCCCCAAGCAGTTTTTTCAAACTAAGGGGTTGGGGAACTCCCTCTAGCTCCAAACGGCTTCCTGTTTCATGGGGAAGAACTGGATACTTCGGGCTCCTTGTCTCCCTCCTGAGCAACAGCGAGGTGGTAAATGAAGTCACCATGAAGAAGCTTCCAGGTACCGTCACCAGCTTTTCTCAGCTTTCTCAGACAAGTCTCCCTCATCAGGCCATCCACTGCTGAAGCCACGACGAAGTCTGCAGCTCCCATTTTTAAAGACTTTCGCCCTTCGCTCGCGTTGCGACACACCACGGGCGCGGGGGGTGGCGTTTGGGCCGCCCTGCGGGGTTTCATGGTCCCTGAAACTGTTTGCTTATGGAATTGGCCACTTTAAGAACTGCGCCGCCCCTGGCAGGAAATGACTGCGACAGGCTGAACAGCGAAGGCCAACACCACGTCCAGCCTGCCGAGAACGGGGAGCTGAGTCTCTCCTGAAAACGTCTCACTTGTCCCATTTGGGATTCAGAGGCAGTTCTTTGGGATTTGTTTGGTGAACGTTTAATTCGTTGAGAGAAGACGGTGATACAAACGAACACCAGACCTGGAGCAGCTCCCGAGGTTCTCTCTCTCCGCTCCGTCGCTCCGCTCCGTCGCTCCGCTGGCACAGTGCGGCTTCAGAGACGGCTCCGGAGCGCGGCCGAGGGGAAGGTCATCTGAATCCGAGCCTCTCCTGATTCGATGCAGCCATGGCAGCGCTGATAGGTTGGGTGGGTGAGCACACCCTGGGGTGAGGGAAGATATATTGTATACATAGATTGATTTGCTTTTTCGATCATTGACATGAATTCTGGAGCACTTGATTTGGGAGCTCATTGAGTATAGATAAATGATGACCATTTCTTGTTCTTTTCCAGTTCTTTTGGTTCCTTTTTGTCGATTCAGATTTGGAGGAATGAACAGACTGGATCTATCAAACCTGGATTGGATCCCTCATCCGTCTTTGTTCTTGGTTCACCAGCTGAAAGGACCCGAACGGAACCGGAACCGGCTGATCTGGGCGAAAGCATGGCCAAACTCCAACAGTTCTTCACGGGTGTCCTCTGCCAAAACGATATTTCCACGCAGGACTCGTCGGTTTCCAGGTTCGACTTTCACGGTCGACTGATTTTTTTAAGCAACGTCATCAGGTGGACCATTCACTTCACTGACGGACGAGCTTCCCCGGAAAACCAGCTGAAGGTTGTGAAGCTCTTTGTAATTATCCCTGTCTTGTTTTGAGTGTTTGGGTGGTTCCAACTGGTGCAAAATGCCCAGCGTAGCCATGCCAGAGATTCACTTTGAAAAGCCACGTCTTGAGGGAACAAACATCTCACCACCTGGGTCGGTCAAAGGGGAAGCTGAAAAAGACCGCACTTAAGCAGCGTTTGGTAAAAACCTCACCGCAGACTGGCTCGTGCGCCTGTGTGGCAGTGTCATTTGGTGGCTTTTTGGGGGGATTGTTGTTGGCACAACCTCCATCTGTTCTTTTTGTGTGTGAGTGTGTCTCGCTTGCTAGCTGGTTCTTGAAATCAAACAACACATGTACAACTTCCAACCAGGAGAATAGACATGCGCGGAACCATGTGGAACACCCCAAAAAGAAACACATATCACATGACTTGTTGTGTCTCTGTACTTTCCGCTGGCGCCCTCAGCTACGAATCGCAGCACCATTCCACCGTGGCCACAGGTCGTCAGGCTCCGGTACGAATCGCCGAGCGGCGGTCTCTGAAAGCATCCTCCACAGCACCTTGAAACGTACCTCGGTGCCGCTCGGTGGCGAGTCAAATCCATTCACTGAGTCGATGGCGATATACGGGGTACCCCGACCCTGACTTCCAACCTCCGAGAGCACCCTGATCCATGGATCTGCACAAAACAGGCTTTGGCGCAAAAAGTCTTCATGAACTCTCAGGAACTCTCCAGGAACTCTCCATCGAACAATGATCCCAACAAACAACCGCCTCCCATCACTTCCAAAAGGGCTGTCTGCATGGAGGATCGGGCTATTATCCGAGATCCCACTTCTCACCTTTTTGGGTCTCACAACCACCGAATTCTGCGGCTCCGCTCCTTCTCCGAACTGCGGCTCCGCTGCCCTCTTTCGCCGCTGCCCCTGTCGCCGTTCGCGCGCCACGAATCGGCCGCGCCGGAACCTGCGGCGCTGGGCGGCCCCGGCTGATCGACAGATCGGCGGCTTCAATGCGCTCCGCCGCCGGCGCGATGTGACACACCTCCGGTCGGCCGCACCCGGCGGTGGAAACGGCGACGCGGGGGCTGAAGCTTGGTGTGCCCCCCCGTTCCGCGATGGACAGGTTGGGATGGTTTCAATCTTAAGGAGTGAAGCAAAAGAAAATGGACACTCTGAACGAGTCTTAGTAGAACTGTAAGCAGTTGGAAGCCTCTGCCTCTTGAAGACCGTTGCTTGAATTACACCTCATGAAGCCGAATGACTGGTGAGTTCTGGGGGGGGTGATATGCTTCTCTCCTGATCAACATCCAAAGTTCACCCAGATCTTCCTCTCAACACCAGCAATATGGTCTAGTGTTGGTGATGGTTGTTGAAACAAACGACATCTCTTGTGCGGAACATCTTCAGTGTGTACCATGGGTAGTGTCCCGAGTTGTGGGGCAAATGCAATAGCGGCTATCGTTTGTCACCTCTATACGTCTGGTAGGTGGACACAGTCGACCCGTCGTAAAGGACACGTTTCAACAAGAACAACACTGCCACATGGATGCTTTCACGCGTTTCATCTTCTATAGAAACTTTGGTCGAGTTCGTGTTTCTACCTTGATGCTGTTTGATTGTGTTTGCAGAATCCTCCCACAACACCATGCCCAGTCACACTAACACCATGCAGTCCAGTCCACCCATGCACCAAACCGCATGTGTCACATGAACTCCTCAAACCCCAAGCCGTGGATCCCTTCCACCGAGCTTCGGACCCCTCCCCGTTCGGAAGACCGTCCCGTACCGCTGCGAAGGCCGAGTGGCCGCCCCCAGGTTCCCCATGCGGCCGATGTAGTTCGCCGCGGAGAAGATGGTCAAACAGCCTGCCACGACACCGTGCAAGGCGGTCGGAAAAGACGTGACAAACGTGGTTGAACATGCATGTTTTCAACTCTGATATTCTATTAATTTCTATTAAACACATGTTCTTTCTTTTGTTTTTAGCGCGCTGCTTGTTCAGCGCGGCTTGCGGCTTGCGGAGCTTGCGGAGAGGCCCCTTGGAAAGGACTGAAGAAAAGGTCTTGGGAAGAAGGACATCTGAGACATCTAGTTTCAAACCGAAACAGCCGGACACAGAACCCCGGCGCCCAGCAGTACATCTCGGAAAGACAGCTGAAAAACAAAAAGAACAACCCATTTGCAGGTCAACCGTGATTAAACGCACTTACAAATTAGAGAATAGGGGTGACGGATCCAACCATGTTATACAAACCTGGACCTTCAAGTGTCCTGGCTGGAGATCCCTTAGTGGTGTAGGGGCTTCCATTGGTGACCCCTTTGAAGGTGCTGGAATCCAACTCTGCTCAAGCTGGTCTTGCGTTGGTTTCAACTCTCGGCGCCAGCGGTCTCCGGTGCACATGGTCGACCGGTCCAAACACCACGTGCCAAAAACCCGACAGGTCAGTTTGATGGTCATATTGATTGGAGTTGGTCATACAAGTTCACACTACTCAACGAGGTAGGAAAAAACATGTCTGTCTTTATATTTTTTGCTGGATCGATGGGGACTGTTGACTTGATCAAACCCTTGATGTGACCATCTTCTGGCAATTCGTTGTTTTGCTTTTTCATCAACAAGTCGAGAGTTTGCCAGTTCACAAGCCACGTCCCACGTCCCGCGTCACTGTCGGCCGCGCTGAGCGATCCCCACGACCGCCCCGCTGCCATTCGTACCCGCGGTGCTTGACCTGGCGAAGCTCAGCGGATGTGACGTGACAGGCACACCGTGACGTTGGGACACCAGGGGAATTCACCAGACGTCACCGGCTGGCCCCGAAGGGAAGGACACCGGATGGGAGATGAAGGAAAGGCTTGGATTTTCAGCCTTCCGTGATCCACGAAGCGCAGGAAGTGAAAGGGTGTTCAAGACACCACGGCGCCACGAGACTTACGAGAGGCTCGTCTCCACGTCTCCACGCTGTGGGTCGGGTCCGCAGTCAACGAGGCCCCGCAAATGACGCTTCCATCCTGGTAGTGGGGAGTTCCAAAGGCTTGGTCACGTGGCAGGTACATAGAAACGGGATGGTATTAGACACGGCGTTTTTTTGTCTACAACGGAGTGCTGTTTGCATGTGAAACCGCCTGTGAAGCAACACAAACGCATGCTGACAAGAGAAAGGGCACGGCCGGGGGCGAATATTGAGTTGCATTACAAGTTTGCAGACCTGCATCTAGTTCAATTCAGGATCATGAACATCCAGGGGATTCTTTCTGTTGGTCAGGGCATATCTCAATGCGCGATTGTAGCTTTCGTATTGTGCAACGGAAATCTTTGTTTGTTGTTCGATGGCACTCGGTATGGGCAACTTGTTATGGAAAGGCGGGTTCAGGGAATGATTTTACGTAGTTGGACAGTGTTTGCATCACCTTGTTGGCACGCATTAACGGGGTGTGTCGTGCTACAAGTATTGCTAAGTCAACTGAATCCCGGACTGACCCAACTGCAACATCCTGTTTTGGAGAATGTCCCACTATGTCGGAAGGTTTTTTACTAAAACACTGCTTCAACTGACTGGTGCTTAGTAGGGAATAAGGGAAGTTTCGCCCCCAATAGAGATTCTATTGGATCCATTCCCTCATTCCCTGCGAGTCGCACCAGTCACTCTGCTCAAACCGCCACCCCAAGGGCTTCGATTCGTTGGCGCATCGAGTGCAAACAAATCCGGTTTGCCGGGTTTGGACGTTGGCTACTAGCCGGGAGAGGTCGCGAGAAACCGTGGTACCTCTGGGGTGGGTTGTAGAACTTTCTGGCCTACGTATATACTTAGAAATCAACGGTGGTTGATTTCGCCGAGTGCGAGATGAAGCAGCCAACATCACTCAGCACTGTACCAGTTATACATATGTAACCGTGGTGGTGATGCCAGTGATGCAAAAGTGATAAACAGTGCATCTTCTGCATCACCAACCTGCCAAACATGAATAGATAATGGCACTCGGCTACGTTCAAACACATTTGCTTCTTCTGTTCCATCTCTCTTTCTGTTCCATCTCTCCCACCCTCTCAAGTCCGACCGAAAACGAAGCTGCTCTCTCTCCCCGTTTCGTTGGACCTCGTGGGAACGGATGCAGCAAAGCAAGTCGTTGTCCTGGCCGCGAGGGGTCCGCCACGTGTACCGAGGGACGGTGCGTGGGACTGGACGATCGGCGGATGATGTTGGAATCAGTTTGGATACACCTGCTGCAGGTGCGTCGGCATGTCATATCAAAGGAATACCATGGATCTTCCAACGACATGCAACATTTCTGCTAACCTTGTCTGATTTTTATGGATGAAAAGGCAGACATTTGTCACAGTTGGAAGATCCAGATATGATCTGATGGTTCATCAACATGTAAAGGCGGCCCTCAAATGTCTTTGGAACTCCGGGTATTTTGAGACATACTCCTGAAAGTGTTTGACGACAAAATGCAATTGCCCAATGGTCGCACGGTCCGGAAACATCACTGATCTTGTTGGGCTTCATTTGGCTTCTCTATGGCTGGTATATTCATCTCAATACAAATCCAAGCTGAGAATGTGATCCTGCTCATGTTCTTGTCACTGCCTGTGCAAGCAGAACCAGTCCGAACCAGTCCTTTTCTGCGATGTTCATGCCGAACGACCATGGCACACGCGGCACACGCGTGACCAATGGCCGATGGCGGACCAAACAGGTGTCTTCCTCTTCCCCAACTGTTTCAATGTGCATCTTGCCTCTTATACCAGCACCGAAATCAACAGGCCTCCAAGGAAGTGGTTTGGCAGTTGTAGACCTGATCGTCAAGTCGCAGGTGGTGACCTGTGAAGTCAGGTCTTGGTATGGATAGACCTGGCACATGAATTTCTTCAGGTCGAGGATCGAGGCTCTGTCGGGGCTTCCAGTTGGACCCGATCGCCCCTCCGAGCGGCCCTGGACCATGCCAGCGGCCCTGGGCCCACGTAGACCTGCCCTCAAAAGCATGGCAACATGAAAGGTTTTCACTCACAAAAACCATGTTTCTTGCTGGGGAACACCAGGTTTGGATGGTTTTTGTCTGTTTCTTCATGGCTTGGAGGTCCAAACCACCCTGCGGTGGTTTCCGGGAACACCGTTGAAACAACGGGAGGCCGCCGCTGGCCATGTCTCTTTTTGAACAGCTGAAATAGGGGACATTTCCAGGCTGCTTCAGTTCAACTTAGTTCAACCATATCTTTCAATTCCATCAACAACTAAAACCCCACAGAAACAACATGTCCAGTCACCGCTGTGGTTGATGGCTGTCCTGACAAAACTCCTCGGTCACGTCAGGGCCGAAAAGGATCCCTGTGCGACCGTGCGACGACTTGGCTGTGCCAAACGCGTGCCGAAGGAGGTCAACTGCTACGATCGATGCTTTGACCGTGGTGATTCTTTGCGTGGTCGATGCAACATATGGGAAAGTGGGGAGGGCCCTTTCTGAAGGTCACCTTGACAAACAAAGGGACCAATGACCAAGGCAGGTAGAAATTCTATACAGGAGGAAATTCCAAATGACAAGCAAAGGTGACCTTGACAAACAAATGACCTGTCACCCCGTGACACCTTTTGTCGGTTTGTTCTTCCCAATGACCTGTAGAGTCGTATGCCACTGGCACCCTACATCCCTCAGACCCGCTCCCATGAACCTTTGGCACCAATCCGAAAGGATGTCTTCGAACTCCAGCAATCGGTCTCTTGATGTCCCACGCCCAAAAAGCGTCCCTGGAAAAGCATGCTTATACTTAATAACCTTTTTCAAAACTGCTCTTGTTTAGTAGGGCTTCCCCAATCTAACCCCTAAAAGTTCTCTTTTCTTTGCAGGTGATCCACATTACTTCTGAAGTGAAGACTGCATATAAGCCTCGGACCTAATAGCGATGGCCTCCAACCTACTAGCGATGGCCTCCACCGAACACATTCTACCCCAAATTGCTGTTCCACACGGGTCGTCGCGCCCGTCGCATCCCTTTTGCCCTGTACCACCGCAGTCGGAGACACCTGCACCACGCTGGGAGAGATGTCGGCCATCTTCCTGGGCGACGAAAACTCCCAGACTCTCGGGTTTCAGGTGAGGATAGGAACAACATCTATGGTTGAGATCCTACAAGCTGGTTCAAACCCGCCTAAGGCCTCTGGATGAATTTGGCTTGTCAGATCTCAAGTCTATGGTTTGGATGGTTTGGATGAGGAGCCGAGACCCTGCCTTTTAGGCAGGCCCCGCTATCTACCCGACCCTGAGGATCGATGGCCAACATCGCTGAATGTCTATGCCGTCATCCAACTGGAATAATTAGTAGAATCACAATACCAACAGAAGTAGGGGGTCTCATGAATGGATGAACCGTCCTTCTTAGAAGTTCACCACAATACACGGAGTGATCGGTTTCGCTGTAGGCTGTGGGCTGTGGACTGCCCGAAGCATCGGGACACGAGAAATCAGAAGGTTCAGGGATTCCAGAGTGGGTTATATACCCAATGGAAATGTCTCATCGGGGATCTCAACGCAGTATACATGGCAGTATGATGCACTTGCAGATGCTCCTTGGTAGGACCATAGATGAGATCCTGAACAACTACCATAACAACTACCATCAACTTCGGACCACTTCGATAAACAAAAGAAAAGGAATTCCTAGAGGTGTAGATCACTTCTAGTCTTCCAGGCATTCCTTCTCTCGCGGCGCCGGTTCCGCCGGTTCCGAACGGAGGGTAACTTGGGGTGCCCAAAACATCCACGCATCCACATCCGACCAACAACAACTCCAGACGGGAACTGTGGTGTTGAGAAGTAGTTGTCATGGTAGTTTTCAAGCCGATGTTAGTTGTTTTTCCCTTGAGAAGTAGTTGTTGTTTTTGCCCTTTGAGATGCAACTTTTCCCCAGACCCAGCAACTGACTTCGTTTTTTTCGCCGGTTTTCCTCTCATCGAGCAGCATTGATGGGATCTGACCAAAGGAGATCTTGGGCGACTTCGCCAAGCCTTGGTGGTCAGTTGGGTACCTCAGGAGTGACAGGTCCTGTATTTTCTTGTCAGGTCCCTTAATTACATAACCTCTTGATCTTGGAGATCGCACCTGTGCCACCCAATTTTGCGCCGCGCACCAAGTGCGACCCGGAGGCACAAGGCCATTGGTTTCTAATGGCCTCTTTGCTTTTCCCCACATCACTGTGTGGGGTTCTTGTTTTTCGCTCTGCACCCGCCGCTCCGCGTCCGCCCCTCGCCCCTCACACAAAACTCATCACATCCACCTCATCTTACACAACTTATCTCACACAACTCATCACGTCCCACTCATCACACCACTCATCACATCCAACTCATCTTACACAACTCATCGCTTGAACCCATCTTACACAACTGAACACATCCATTCATCTTACATCACTCATCACATCCACTCGTCACACCCCACTCATCTTACACAACTCTTCACATCCAACTCCTCTTACACAACTTATCTCACACAACTCACCACATCCCACTCATCTTACACCACTCATCACATCCAACTCATCTTACACAACTCATCCCTTGAACTCTTCTTACACAACTCATCACATCCACTAATCTTACACCACTCATCACACCCCACTCATCTTACACAACTCATCACATCTCACTCATCTTACACCACTCATCACATGCTCGCGCTGCACTTGGTGAACCTGGAGTGCAGATTTCGTGGCAGGCGCAGCACACAGAGCCTTCAGGGGGACCGGGTGGACGCGGGGTCGTGACAGCACTTGGTGAAGCTGGAATGCAGATTTCGTGGCAGGCGCAGTGCGCAGAGCCTTGAGGAGGACCGGGTGGACGCGTGGGCGCCGCTGGGTCCTGAAGGCTCTGTGTACTGCGCCGGCCACGAAATCTGTACTCCAGGTTCACCAAGTCCTCTCCTTGCCACAAAAAAGGCAGGCGGGGCGCCCACGCGTCCACCCGGTCCCCCACCCAGTACCCAATCCCTATGCACATGCCCCACGAGACGTTCGCCCGTCGACAGGGTGTAATGAAGTTCCCCCGAACAAGCGCGAGCACTACCCAAATGAGGTCGTCTAGTGACTATAGTGCGTACAAAGTGACTCGTTCGGAACAAGAGAAATGTCATTGACCCGGTTCTCGTTGTAGTCGTCGATCGGCCGCAGCTTGCCCTTTCGCGAAACACCGAACCTACGCACTGGATCCATCGTTTCATCATCTCCTCGCACTCTTTGTCAGTGAGATCTTGTAACTCCAGGCAGCGTCTGGCCCACGTGCTCCACCAGCAGCATGTCCGTGTCAATGGTGCTATGGGTTTGACCCAAAATTGTCGCACGGTGATGCCCAACGGGATATGGCACATGCTCTGGCAAGACACGGTGAACATGTTGAAATAATTCGCACTCTTGTTGATTCGATGGGTGCTGAAGCTCAGAATATATTTTCAAACACAAAGGGGTGATCACAGACAGATGGAGTGATCCTTTTTTATCCTTTTTTTCATATTTCTCTTTAAATCATCCATCACCTGAGCCAGGTACTCTGAACTGCACGGAGTGCAGTTGGCACTTGCGCTGCCTCTGTTCAAAAAGAACTGGTGTGCTGCACGTCTTCTGCAGAAGCTCATATTAAACTGACCTACAATAGAAGCTACACCCACACACTCTGTCTCTCTCACTTCCTCAATCATTCTCTCAATCATTCACTGCTTCTTCTTTCACCTCGCTGTCTCTTTCATTCACTTTTATCGTGCCGTATCTTCCCGTCCTCTTTTCTGATCAGTCTCTACTCCTCATTGCTAGTTCTTAGCTTAACATGTGGGGTTATCCGGTCCTTTTACCTTTTTGGGCCCATCAAAATTTGTGGGCCAGAGGCGTAACCAAATGCCTCCAGCTGGCAAATGGATGTTGGGATGAGGCCTGGGGGGGTGGTTTCTTTCAAGCTCTTGGAGTGCCAAAAGATCGGTGGGCACATATCGCTATGGACAGAATCGTTGTGACCCTGAATATTTTGGCACGTCCTCATGACCAACTTCTTTCTCTCTTTCTTTCTCTCTCTGTCTCTCACGTTCAAGTGGAGCGACTGTTTGTAGCATGGTCTTGTACCTGTCTAAACGCCATGTCCGTGTTTTTCGTCTTTGCTCCGTTGTCTGCCTTCCAGCTGAGTCGTTTTTTTGCTGAGTCTAGGGATATCCCCCCCTCCTTCTCCACCCACTCCCGTGCCACTCGCCCGTGCCACTCCGCTCCTCCGGCCACTCTCGTCCGTGCCGGGTGCCCCGTGCGTCGGCGCGAAGCGGTCGATGGTGGCCACGTCCTTGAGGCCCACGGCGCGGCTCCTGCAGCGGTGCCGTGCCGTGCCGTTCGTCGGTCGAAACAAAGGGATCGAATGATCAATGGAAGATGAATCGAAGTCAGGTAGATCGTGGGACTGCGGTAGGTCGAAGTCAGGAGGTAGATCGAAGTGTCCTGATCAATGGGAGAATGTGCCTGTTTTTCACACGTCTATATTTATAGAGTCTAGCAAACTAACACGCCCCTTTGAGAAGCCCAGATGGCTGAAGTACGTGTATACACATGTACACATTGTCAGTGCAACATTTCTGCAAGAGGTCTAATTCCCCTATTAGGGATCCGTTTTCGTCCCGTACCTCAGGTTCGGATCCCAAAAACGGACCCGACACTCGCACCCACTCGAACACAGTGTCTCACATCCTCACCGTACCCTGAGGTTCGAAACCGACCACGGATCCCAAACGGCTTCGATCCAGTCGGTTCCTGCGACCGCCGACCGACTGGACCGATGCTCACGGTCGACGGTCGACTCGGCAGCGACGACGCAAAGAACGGTGGACGTGGTTCTTTTCGGACGTGGCCCAGTGGATGATGAGATGCGAAGTCAAAGGGCTGTGATATAGGGCTTTCTCAAATAAGGTATACGGATATAGTAGGGATCATCTCAATTGTAGGGTTGTGATGGTTCGTTGTATGGCCTTTCCATCTGTGATTGTATATCATCTTGCACCGACTGCTACGGGTTTACTGGGCCACACGCTAAATCAAAAAAATAGATCTAAACCAGCCAGTGGTGGGAACTCTGGAATGGGACATCCAAGATCGCTCGCGAAGAAGGGTATTTGCTTCGCTTCCGAGCTGCGAAGAGCTGCCAGGACCCACAAGAGTTGGGTGGTGCATGAACACCTCTTAGCTTCCTATTATTAATTGAATTTAATACACTACGCCTTCGAGAAGGGTCCAGGTATTACTGGCCACCTGCATGACAACAGCAACAAGAACCCAAAGGAAAAGGCCACCTCATGAGCACTGAAGAAAGCGTTCTTTCGATTCCTCCAATTTCCTCGTCCGACCCAACCGAACTCCACGATCGGACTCCGGGCCACGAGACGGCGGAACGGCGGCAGACCCGTTCTTCCAGCTCGTTTGAAACCCGTCCCAGCCCGGTTCGACGGTCCTGAAGAGACCTCCGTGGGCCACGAAGACCGAGCGATTCACCAGGGATGCCAAGGGCAAGCTGATGAAGAGCTCCTGAACAACTTTAGAACAGGTCGCTCGGTCGCCCAACACAGCTTGTTTTCTACGACTGCAAGGTATGCCAGAATTCCAGTGAGAATGTCACCAAAGGTGGCCCATTTGGGCTGATGAAAAAGCTAGGGGCTATGTGCATCAACGCATCAACGGTGCTGTGGGAGATTCCACGGGCCTTGGGAGAAGGGCTTCAGCTTCGAGGGATGAACCATCTCTTAGAGGGTTGTGGGGAGCGAGCCAAGTCTGAAGAGAAACACTGTGATAGACTGTGATAGAGGTCGAATGGTATGTTACGACCGGGGCACTCCTTTGTAAAGACCCGTGCACTCCTCATCTTGACTGGACTTGGGGAACCGCCACGAATCTGGGGCGGTCCACATGGCTCCACAGTACAACCGTCGGACGTGGACGGAAAGACGTCCTGACATCTGAAGACTGAAGACGATCAGGTCTTGGAGGGTTTTCATTCGACTTCCCACAGGCATGCCGGAGGGAGGCAAATCACTGATGAATTCAAGCAAAATGGACCTCATGGATCCTCGTGGAGGCCGCCGACATGGGGCCACCAACATCTTGCACCTTCACTCGTCTCATCGAATGTCCGGTGTCGTTTTCTCGTCCAGGTCGCAAGCGTTTAACGAGACCAGCTGCGCTCATTCGGTCGGGAGAAAAGGACACTTCACGGACGTTTCATGCATCACAACTGATGTAATTTATCCATTTCCGCAGTGGTTTCAGAGGTGAGAAGACATGGCACTGGCACCCCAAGGTGTCTTAGACAGCATGGGGGTCCATTTCAATGCACCGAACTTGGGGGCCCAAACAACCGTGCCATTGAAGCGAACCCACTGGAGACATGGCAAAAACACTGTCAGAGATGGCAAAGACCCCAATTGGGAAACGAAACCCCTCCTGGAAAGCCTCGAAGACTCTGCGAGGATACTTCTGAAGCGCTTCCTCTTCAAAGCCATAATTCCTCAGAGCCCGAAACAGGAAGAAACAGCTAGAGGAGGGCGAATTGTGTGTCTTACCCGATGGCGGAGGGGCATGTTGAGAGACCATCATGCCGATATGTGTGAAGTCAATCATAGGATATATTCAAGCATTTGCCAATTAATTCATAGACTATCCGTTCCAAACTCACCCGGGCATCAATTCTTAGATTCTATTTGTCAAACAGGGATGGACAAATAACACAAATCCTATCCAGTCTCTAGACATACTTGTTCGGAGTTCAACGTAGGAGATAGTCCATTAAACGAGTTTATGGAAGCGACCGGGGATGTTCGTTTGGGGGACGCTCAGTTCGGTGCTGTTGGATTTCTCCATGTGTATGCAGATGTACAGCAATGGCATGAGCTCAAAACAAGTACTAGACCATAATAAACCATAATAAACCTCTCTTTGGAGCCTTTTCCCTGGAAAATCGAGGTGAACTAACCTTTGCACCTAGTCCCCCCCCAAAAAGGTGACCTGCAAACGATCCACTTTTCATCACACTCCTGGGTATGGTCAAAGCACTCAAAATTGGACGGAGCGTGGAACCCTCTGCTGCCTTCGATGGACGTCGATGGACTGTGCTGTTTTTCGACAGAAAGGTCATCATCGACACACGGACCTGCTCGAGAAATCATCGGCTTAACGCTTGGATTGGCCGTCCAGGCACGGGGGAAAAAGTATGTAGACGTTGTTCCCAAACCATGCAGGATTTACCGCCCTCTTTCCGCCCAAAACACCATCGGGGCCCACGGAATGGATCCTTCTGCCAAGGCACCTACTCATGTAGGCAAACTCATGATTTCCACGGTTCCTCAGCGAGTGAGGTGGTTGGTGTGTGGGTGAGGGCTTTAGTTGCTGAGGCTCTTCCTTGATCTCCTTGCAACACTGCCAAAACTCAATTCCTGGCACGCTTGTTCATGAACCATATATGATGAACCATATGATTCATACCAGCTAAGCCTTAAATGCCGGAAGAGGATCATTTCTCAGAGTTTCTTTCGTTTTTGTCGGAAGTGTGGAAATTCCTACACTTCTCAAAAGCGGAACCGGAGAAACTGAAATTACGGGCCGGAGAAAATAGGCAACCGGACTTGGAGCGAGAAAATGCGGAGATGGGGCGAGAAAAAGCGGAGGTGGTGCGAGAATGTGGGGCGAGAAAACCCGGAGGCGTGGAGGAATCCCCATGAGGCGCGAGAAAAAGCGGAGAGACCCGGAGAAATGCGAGAATCCATGGAATTAGTTCGCTTTTTTGGGTGAAGCTGGAATTCCTCAACTTTTGGCTTCGCTGGTATATGATTTCATATGATCCATTCTTTTGTTGCGAACTTGCTTCTTCTTTGGGAAAACACACCCAGGTCTTCTCAAAAGAGCTCGCTCCATGTCCAGCAGTGGTTGGGGTCGCCCAGCAGTGCCGCCACGGACCTTTTCTCCGCTCGGTTGGCCTTTTCTCCGTTCCCGCAGCGGAGGCACACCGGGTCGCCGGAAGGTTCTGCTCCACGTGGCCCGGGAGTTCGGAGCAAATGCGAAGACAAAGACAAAGACTCCGTTGACTCGTCCGCCGCGAGTCACCGGAGAGTTTTTGGCGTCATTCGAACACATCCGTCCTGTAGAAGGCATCTCTGACTCCCGAGGTGGATGATCCAGATCAGGATTTCATCTCCATGGCCATTGACCTCCGTCTTCAAATTGCTCCACTTCATCCAGTTCCACCACCGAGACCTTCCCGAAAACACCAGGCCCGCTACCCGCGTCGTTCACGACCACGGGCGCCCTAAACCAGTTCGGCAGGCGGGTGGACCTGCGCAGCCTCTGCTCAGCGTGGAACCGCTGGATTCAGTAAGTCGGTCAAGGCCTTCTGAAAGCTCTCTTTGGTGAAGTCCTCGCGAAAACGTCGAAGACCGGTCGGTTTTGTGTCAGAGGATGTTCGGTAGGTTCGGTAGACAGGACGTAGACGGATGGTTCGGCTGGTAGACGGATGCCATCCGGAGTCCCCCTCATAGGAAGATCGAAGTCTCTTCTTCTAACCTCCAGGTCCAACCATCTGTGCAACCCTGCGGGGAAACTCACCCATCTTTCTTCCAGAACCCCAACGAGAAGTGCCATACAAGGATCTTTACTTAGAACATCGAAATGTACATATCACAGAACATGCGTTCCGGACCAGGAAGTATCTCTTTGGGTTCACCGAACGGTTCAGAGGCTTCCGTATCTTCTCAAACATCCACCCCAAAAAATGTCATGTTGGCTGTTGATACATAACCTCCCTCTAGCAGAATGGATTGATATCTGAATCTCCATATGGGGAGGCCTTGTTGATCAACACTCTACAGAAGGCTTGATCAACACTCAACAGGGACCAGAGAACAAGAGAATGGAAGAAGGAACCAGGGGAAATCTGGAAGAGAGATTGCACTTACTTTGAAGTAGTGCCAGACCCCCGGTGTCGACCATCCCCGGTGTCGACCATCCCATCAATCCTAGGAAGGAGCACGCATGGTGTCGACATGTGTCGACCCTGTTCCTCATACCAACCAGACGTGGTTTTGGGAGTCCATGTAGTCCGAATAGCAGATGGCCATTGCTAGTAGGTTGGAGGCCATAAGAAGAAGTCTCTTCGAGTCTCTTCTCCGTTTGGGTCCCGAGTCTCTCCTTGATGGCCACACCCATGGGCCCTTGGTTTGCTTTGGCCACCAGCCGCATCCACATGAACCTGGAGCGACTGATGAACAACCGAACTGCGAGTCCTGGTGTGGGGCGTCTCTGTTCCACCGCCCAAACCTCATGTCCTCCCCGACTCCAACGGCTCAACGACTCCAAAGGGTGATTTAAGATTAAAAGGCTTGGTCCAAACGGGGTCTTTGGCACTTGCTTCGCCAGTGCTGGGGGGTCTGCAATTCGTATCGCTGAGGAGCAGCAAAGTAATTCATCGTGGTGTCAGCTGGGAAGACCTTCCTTGACAGTAGTAGTGACCGTAAAAAGAACTTTCCACAGAATCTGGCCGATGACCCCAGGCCCATCTAATTTGATCCCCAATGCATATGAAATAGACCATGGACGTCCATGGACATCTCTTTGCAGATTGGCAAGAAATCCAAAACCAAGCAGCTGATCTGCTAGGTGCGGGATGATGAGCTGCTTTCGCCCACAGCGCAGCGCCGAATGCGTGGTACCACTGCCACCGTGGTGCACCACCGCCCGCACGCGCGGGAAGAGCCAGTCAAAGGGGATGTCGCGCACGAGTAACGCATGGGCTGGGCAGTCCTGAAGGGGCTCGAAAACGTCGCCCAGCAATCCGGAACATCGAAAGCACCTCCTGGTTTAGATTAAAGGATAACCCTGAGAGTGTCTTAAACCCCCATGTAGGATGGGGGACATTTCAGGAACATGTATCTGCTCAGGTCTTGAACCCCGCAAAGATCACAAGCAACACTCGATTGGCTTGCCGCCCTAACGACGAGTCTTGTGGGGCAAACTTTGGGCTCCATCAAACTTGCATCCCGACAGCATTGAAAGGCTGGAGCCACCAATTCAGCAGCAAACCATTTTCCTGCAACTTTCAATAACTTTCACAAAAACACTGTGCTATATTCTTCTTCACTTCAACCCCGAACCACCCAACCTGCCCCCAAAACCGCCATGCCATCTCAACCCCCAAACAGGTCCTCCACTTCAATTCCACCCCAGCCCGCATTCAGCAGCACCGGCAGTTGCATCTCCGCCGTGACCGCCAGGAGGATCCTCGGCCAAGGCGGAGCACCGGTGACCGAACGGCCGGAGAGCGGGTGCAACGGGTGCAACGGGCCTGCAAGGCGTGAAACAGGGCGAGCCAACTGGGATAGTGGAACTTAATTAGGGTTCTGAAGAACCTCTGTTGGTGGGCTTTGGTGATACTTTTGACCAAGAATTAATTCAGGGTAAGGGCTTGAGCCCTGGAACGTTCCCTCCATGGATATTCTGGGTATCAAACGACTCGAATCTTGGGGTCTTCGACTTGATTCTACGGATCAAGATCCATCCCTACAAATGGTCCATTCGTCGGGATCCAAGTGGTCGAAAAGAAGCCTCTCCATGTGTTCATATTACGTAGGTTTCCCAAATGAACGCCAATCAAATCGTATGTGTAGCTACGGAATCTGTTGAAAGAAATTCACAGGAACCCTGTATCTATTCCATTCTATTCCTCTTCTCCCGCAATGCTTTCTCTGTGGATTTTCACAGATCAAAACTGGGTGAAAGGCAATGGTATGAGTCTATCGAGCCATGGTGTGAACTTGTTGGCAACTGCAATCCCACCGTCTGGTTCATGGAAACCGTGGGACGATAAATGTTTGATTCCTCAGCCAAGATCCGCAAGATCAAAAGTATGGCAAATATAAAACATCTGAACTCAACACCTGCGGCTGTTGAGCATTTTAATGGAACATTTCAATGGTCCATATTCGGAGGATACTGCCAAATATCTTCTAATATGACCCAAACATCATGGCCATGTCCAAATATGGTTTTTGCTGGTGTGTCCAGCATGTTTCGGGAACATGAGCAACAAACTGGCCACTAGTGGCGCCCTTGACTCCAAGAGATCAGACGCCACCAACATCCATCCATTCCATTCCAATTTTAATTCACTCCTGGGTCAACATCCTCCCATCCATCGGCTTTCTCCCCACCAGCTTTCCACCAATAAAGCGTCTGGCCAATCTCCTTGGGGCGATCGTTGATCATGCTTCCGAAGCCCACCTCACTCGTCGCGTGTCGACTCGGCGACGGGGAAACCCATCCCCAAAAAAGGTTAAAGGGTACCCCGCAACTGACCAGGTAGGAATTTAGAGTCAACATACCAATTCGAAAGTTGAATGGGTGACAAATCATGAATTGCTGTTTAATAGATTTTTGCAGCAGGAGACGTTTCAACAACTATCAGAATTTGGCCAGCGCCTCCCAAATATGGTTGTTCTCAATATTCTTAAGGGCGGCGTACTTTCTATTTTTGAGGGCTAGCCAACATGAATCACATTTTGCATGAACCGCACGGACTGTCTCGCTCGGCTGGCATTCGTCTCACTGGTTTTGGGGGAGTTGAGAGGGGTGAGGGGTTGATGCTCGATTGGTTGTAAGTTGTAAGGCGTCTTTTTTAAACATGTTTGTTTCGCCCCAAGCAACACGTCCAAGCAGTGTGCGCCTGGGTGGGTGGGTGGGTGGGGGTGATCCTACAACAACTGATTCCATCCCAGAAAACACGGAGTGCTGACCCAAATCTCGTGGTGGAGAAGTGTGTTGGGAGGCTGTTTTTGAGTCAAGCAACGTGCACAGAGGGTGCATGGAAAAGCCCGAAAAAAGCGACAATTCCAGGATATGTACTGGGACCAGGGATTCCCGAGCCGGGCAATGTCGAACACCAAAATTCACACACTTGGATCCATGCTCGCAAGAGCTATATCAGTTTGGAAAGTGCCGAGAGCTAGTTACCGATTACATTAGACCCTGACTCGCAGGAGCAGCAAGGCGAAGGGTCAGCAAAGTTGTATTGTTTGCAACAAGCGCATCAGCTCGTTACTGCAGTAGCACTTTGCGAGAAAAGGAGAGTCACAGCTTGTTCACCAATTGAAAGCCGGCAAAGCTTAAAATTGGTTGCAGGTACGTTTGCACGACATTTTGGATGGGTCTTCGTTGGCCCATGCCATCCAAGTGTCCATGGGCCCCCTGCAAGCTGTACATCGCTAGTAGGTTGAAAGATTAGCTTAAAAGAAGGAAAGCAACTCAATGTGGTTGTGGTCGTTCTCCTTTGAAACAGTAGGTGACACACACACACAC